TTTAGAACTTATTATTGAATATTTGATTCTCAAAATATTTTATTTTTGATTTGCCTGAGTCAAAGAATCTCGAAATATTTTATTCTATTTACCCGAGGGTCACGAAGCGAAATATACCGTAATCGGCAATATTGAGAAATTATTTCGAGAAAATGGATCGAACACATTTCGACGTGTTCAATTCCATATATAGATGACAAAGGAACATGTTGAATAAACCCATTGCAAATCTATTTATGTCGACGTGTTCAATGGAACACACACACACAGTCAACCGGGCGAGTTTGGGAAAAAATTTGTCTGAAAATTTTCGAAACCAATATTTTTTATTTGACAACAAAATGATATATCGTTTCGAGCGAGAAAATGCAAATGAGAGGAGGAAAATTCAAAAAGATCACGACAAATACTCAATTTTTTTGCTCTTCGTCTCGAAACCCAAACGAGAGGAGTCGCAAGAAACATGGTGAGGTCATAATTGGCCGGAACGGCTCCATATATAGACCGTTGCTGAAAATGCGAAGAAATGAAAGGTATACTCAATTTGGGGGGTTTGACTTCTTCTTCTTCTTCTTCTTCGAAGTATGTTTTTTTTGGGGAAATATTTCAGGCGAATAAGGTTCGACGAATACTTCCTACTGCCGCCGCCGCCGCGATATTTAATGCGAAAACGAGTGCCGAGCATTTTTTTTTCTTTTTTTTTTAAGGAAATTACCCTCGAGTTTCGATACTTTTCTTTCATTTTTTTTTAAATTATTCAATTAGTTTTTTTTTGCGTTTCAATTCAATTCAAATCCAATTTTTTTTAGTGTTTTGTTTTTTGTTGACAGATTCAACAAGTTTCGCCGCGAAAAACAACAGCTTAAAATTGTTAAGTGGATTCAAGAATTCAAAAAAAAAACATTCATTTTTTGGACCTAAAAATGAAACGAAAACCAAAAAAAACTGAAAATTTCTCAGCGAATTTGGTTTGATACGCAGGGGTAGATTTACGGGGTGCGTCTTTCGCAATGGTCTCGCAACGCGAACGAAGCATTTCCTTGAACATGGAGTGTCAAGCGACTTCGAAAAAATTTTCTATTCTAATCGATTACGATTTTGAAATTGAAAATGAGAAATAAATCAAAAAATCGATGAATTTTCAGCTCAAAATCGAATTCATTCTCAATCGACTCAGAAAATTAATTGATTTCTCATTTTTCTTCGAATCCCTTTTAGCTGTCGAAGGTTCGATTGACATCTGATCGGTGGTTCTGATAATTCCTGATTAATTACCCTGATTTCAATTGAATTTCCAAGGCCTCTTAAATTAAAAATTATCGAAATTGACGTGAGAAAACAAAATAATCGGTAAATCCGCGCGAGACCACAGCGAAAGACGCAAGCTCGTAAATTTACTGATTATATGCCATGCGAAACAAAATTTTCAATATTGACTATATATGATATATATATGTATACCACCAACCCCGATTAATGTCCGCAGCACAATTTGGTTGAAATGAAAAGGGAGTTCCGTATCGGATTGGTCGCACAATCATATTTTTAAAGAAATTTTCGAGAATTGATTTTGATCACTCAAAACCAATTTTCTTTTTAATAAGGAATATAATAAAAAATTGTCATTAATTGTCGAAAAAATATCGCTTCGAGACCCAAAAATGACGAAATACGGTATTCAGCCAACGTTGGTCAAATTTTGATCTACAAATTATCAAAATTTAACGAATGTGTTCTTGAGAAAAAAGAAGAATAGTAAAAAAGAAGACAAATGGCGAATGCGCCTTTAAAACGAGAAATGAATGGACTCATTCGTAGTCCAGACTTTCTCCGAGTCGATCGACGTTCATTCGACCGTTCTTTCAGACATCCGTAAATAATTTTTCTTCGTCATTTTTCTTTTCAATTTGTTTCTAATAACATCAAGAAAAATAAAAATAAAGACCAAATATGTATATAAAAAACAAGACGTTTTTTTTTCTTCTCAAAAAACACAAGAAACGAGAGCTCGAATTTTGGCTCGAATAATTAAGACGAATTTTTTGAACCTTTAATTTGTTCTTGATTAATTTTTTTATTTTCCAGACGCAAAAAGGATGTCTGAGAGAGATTTAGAGAATTTTACCACTGAAAATTCCGAAAATTGAACAAAAATCGGGCAATACAATGCAATTTTTTTTTATTTAGCACAAATTATTTGTTTAAACCGAAAAGCACCGAAAAAAAAGGAAATTGGGCAAGGTAGGATGAACTATGATTTGTTTCAATTAATGCACTATTTGTTTTCAATTTTGATACGTTTTTTTTTTCGCAAAACAACACAAATTTGGCACAATAAATGGAATAAAGGACAACAATTCTTACAGCAGAAAAATTTTTATACATGTATGTGGGAACGCACATTTGCATAAATGCATTTCATTATGAAACGAAACGGAATGAAAAGAAAAAACCAAAAAAAAAAGGAATAATAATATTCAAAAAATGGGGGAGGTCTCGACAAGTAACCGATTGGGAAACAAATTGGTCAGTCTACGGCCGATATCCGTCCGATCGGCTACCGATTTCGGGTCGACAATCAATTTTTGAGTGTTTGGAGCAGGGCTGTGCGGCAATGGAATTGCCGATTTTTTAAATTGCCGAATTGCCGGATTGCCGAAATTTTGACTTTCGACAATTTGATATTTAAAAAATCTGTGAAACAAAAACCAATGTCCATTGAATAATTTGGAATACCGTGGAAATTCGGTATTTATATTTCGAATTATCGTTGAAAACATTTAATAGCCGCAATTTTGATTTTCGGCAATTTGCCGAAATTTCCGTTTGCCGCACAGCCCTGGTTTGGAGTTCGACATGAGTTGCCGAGAGAAACTACAAAAGTGTGTGAAGCCACAGGTGGTCGACAACCCATTGAAGGAAGATGTCAACTGTTTTTGACAACACGTCGCTTTCCGCTCGTAGAAACGCCACACCAACTTGTTCTCGACTAGCATGGAGCTGGTGAGCGTTTAAAGTGTGTCGACGCGGGCTGGAATCGAACCCGCGAAGGTGCGTGCGAAAGGCGAAAACATCCCGTCCACACTATGCTAACACTCGAAGGCCGCCGGGTCGTATCACGTCTATATGTGTGTCGAGTGAGGACAACGCGGGGAATAATGTCTGATTGACAAGATTTTACAAACGAGGCCCGATTTTAAAATTGTTTTGAAACAGATAATTCGATTATTAATATATTCTGGTTTACTGTAAGCACAGTTGTCAAAAAAACAACCCCTAGGCTTCCTCCTTGAGAGGCCCAATTCCCCTCCCCCAGGGGCTTGTTTGAATTGCTGCGTAAGCTAATTTCACGAAGAAGCAACAGGCGAAAACAACAAACACGCGCGCGTATCCCGTAAAATGTCCACAGATGCTTGCAACGAAATTGTTTTTATATGATTTAAAAAAATATATACGAGTTCAAATCAAATTTCAAATAGCGATAGAATACGGCGAAAGCCGAATATTGTAGTACTAGAGGGTTTTGACATCTCTGACGATACCATATAAGAGAAAAATGGAAAAAAATATAAAGATACGTGATGTTCGTTAATATCGCGAAGATGGCGATAATTGACTTTCAAATTAGCATCCGAGTTCGAATAAAAATCGAAAATCCCACCTTCACAAGCAAAAACGAATTAAATAAAATATAGTATCAATAATTTCTGGTACAAAAAAACGAACAAGTTAAATTTTTTGGACTATCGGGTTTTTTTTTCTGGGTGGCAATTCAAATTTCGATTTAAACTTCGATTTTTTGCAACCATAATAAATATATTCGGTTGCGATAATTGGCACGCTCAAAAAGTTCAAAATAATTAAAGTAATTATAATGTAAATACGGCAAAACATTCTTTTTTTGAGAAAACATATGTACGTGTGTATTTTAGAACATTTAAAATGAATATCAATGCAATAGACTTTTATGAAAAAAATATAAACGTTTCCAAGACCTCCTCATTTTAATTTATGATGCGTAACAATGAATATCTCAAAGTTCCGCAAAAAAATAATTTAAAAGGTCTACGATTTTCCCAAAATGTCCTCAGGCAAACTGGTTAGAGCTCAAAAATGTTTATTTTTATTTTGATATTATTGGAAATATGCTTATGAACTTCTCAGTTTTCAGCCAAAAATATGATGCCACGCAGATTTCGAAGAAGAAAACTCGAAAAAAAAAAGAAACCCCGATTTGAACTATAATATCAATAAGGACGAGCCACTGTATTGTCGGTGGTACAAGCCAGAGAATTTTCGAAAAAAAATTCAAACTGGTTCACAAGGCATTCTGTGAAGGTTTTTTGAAAAAAAAAATTGGAAAAACATGACAAAAAATAATTTATTTTTTCAAATTTTTCTGCCCAACTTGGAACATTTCGCAGTTTTAATATTTCAAAAACCCACGTGGCTATGAGCTACCGTAAAAATTGTGTGCATCCAGAACATACTCGACGTCAGAAATCAACTTCAAAGATTTCGTGTAAAATCATCGCATTTTGTCCATATTTTTCGATTTTTTTCGTCCAGTCTTAGAATCAACATGGTGGCTCTACAGAAATGCCCAAAAGCTGTGACTGGTCGTCGAAATACTTGTCAGTACGACACTCCAATTCCACATCGCCCTCAATTTAGCGTGCCGGCCTAAACCAGTCAGGCGAATTTTGTTTCGACTAACAAATTGTTTCCGGTTTATCACAAAATGCTCCGAAACCAAAAAGGGTCCCCAGGGGTCTTCAGTGCGTCCCAATCGAATAGCTGAAATGTCATTAAAACTGTGACAAATGACTGTGTTTTTCATTCTGCGTCTCTCACATTCAAATGCTCTCTCACAGAATGTCTTTTTCGAATCTAAGAAATTAAGAAGCGCAACAAAAAAAAATTGAATGAGCTCATTTTAAAAATATTTATGAAAAATATGAACCCGTCAAAGTCGAAAACAAAAAGAAAATGGGAAATCATCAACGGAAATATGGATTTTCTTCGACAATGTTCCGAGTTTTTCGTTGAGTTTCGCTCTTCGAAGTTTTTGCTCGAGCCCGAGTGATGTGATGCTGAAACGCCGCTTGTTTTTGGGGGTCCATGTAGCCACAGCTCGTCACAATCAGCGGCACTTCGCATTCGATGCCTGAATTCCGACGAATTCGATTCGGCTCATTTTTCGATTTTTCAAATGAAAAAAAAAACCTGGCAAAGCGGTCAGTTTGAGAACATAATGAATCGCAATAATCGATGTTTCGCCACCTCCTTTGTTGTAGTTTTGAGTTGGCGGAGCAGCTTCCGGGATTTTCAAATGGCACTTTTCAAATTCCTTCAATCAATTTTATATCATAATGGACCTATTCGCGCAATGAAAAAAATTTAAAAAAAAAAAAATTTGTTTCTATTTGAATTCCCTCGTCGAAAATATATATATCGTAATTTCCCGCAATTTATTTTCAAAGGCGCACACAAAAAGTTGCGAAGGTCACGTCGCGAAATCGGTACTGTATTTTTCAATAGCTGTTTTTTCGGATTTTTTTAAATTTTCGAGCGTTTAAAACGTTATTTTTTTCTTTGGAAATATGTAAAAACATTTTGTTTAATTAACGCTAAAAATTTAGAAGACGCGTCATCAAGCGAAGTCTGCATCAAATTAACACAAACATTACTATTTCTCACAATAATTGGTATCTAAATGACGAAAAATAGACTTATATTGTCTAATTAGGAGTAATTATACCAATAATTGGTTTTTTTTTTTCTCGTTCTTCAATCCGTTACACATTTTCTCTTCAAAGTTTTCGAAAAATACGGAAAAAGAACACACAGAAGGAAAAATAAAAAATTAGAGTACCGACTTCGCGACGCGACCCGCGCAATTTTTCGCGTGCCCCTTTGAAAATAAATAGCGGAGTATTACGGTAGATACTAAATAGGGGGAAGCTGAATGGTGGGAATGGGGGAACGTCTAAATTGGGAGGGAAGAGCTGAATGGGAGTAAAGTTGAAAAATGTTACTTCTGAATGGGGAAAAGTCGTGATGAATATTTTTTTTTTACTTTTACTTTTAGTCGATCCGTCCTTCGCTTGCAGCGCGGATCACAGCTTTCCATTCGGCTCTGTCCTTAGCTCGAGTTGTCCAGTATTTGACGATGCGGTTGTTCCGGTCTCGTACGCAGTGGTTCTTTCTCAGCGAGTCGTTCCATCTCATCGGTGGTCTTCCTACCGGTCGTTTCCAGTCTCTGGGATACCATTCCATAGTCGACGTTGTCCATCTTCCATCTGTTCTTCGAGCTACATGTCCGGCCCATCTCAGTTTTGATTCTACTAGGTGTTTGATTGGATCTTTCACTTTTGATAATTGGCGGATGTCCGTTCCATGATATCCTCTTTCTCGTTGTTCCAGAAGGGTGATTCCAACCAACTTTCTTTCTGAGAATTGAACTACAAAAACATATTTCGAGTGCGCTTATAAATTCAGAATTATAGGCGTAGTGTCCATCCAAGATGAAGCAGAAACAATTGTGATTATTTTTTTTAATGTGCTCTTCGAATAAAAGGCTTGAAACCGTATGAGTGTTTTTTTTTCTGCGCGTGTTTGATATAATCTTACCCCCATTCAGTATTGGCCGAGAATTACGATATATCGCGTCAATTTTTTTTATTTTCGACGTGCGTGCATAGGGAATTCAAATGAAAAAAAAATTAATTTTTTTTTGAGATTTTTTTTCATTGCATGAATAGGTCCACAAAGAGAGGAAGAAAAATGATCCTAAAACGAACCATTCGACATCGCGAACGAACTGCGCCAAGTGTGACCATATCAATAAGCTGCTCGGCGAGTTTTTTCTCATTAACATGCTCATATCTCAAATATATAATAATTATTGAATATTCTCAAAGTGGTTTCGATTTTTCTCGAAATATTTTTTTACCTGCTTCTTGCTTCGAATTGGGTTTTCATCATCAGTTGAAGACACACTTCTTTCAGGCCTTTTCTCGTTCGATTATTAATGGTTACCAAGGTTTCAATCGACTGAAATAAACGATGTGAACGATTTCAAATTGAAATTAATTAAATTTGAAAATAGTAGGAGTCCGGCGTCTGTTGTATGCGTGTAGATTTGCGTTTCTCTGGTAACTCAAGATCAATCAGATCCGACAAAATTAGGCTTCGGAATCAACCTGATCCGATTGGAAATTCTACGGATAAGATTGTAAAATTGTCGGATCCGATTCGAACTAACAAATTCAAACAAAACGGATTCGAATAATATCCAATCGGATCCGACAATTTTACAATCTTATCCGTAAAATTTCCAATCGAATCGGGATAATTCCGAGGCCGCATTTTGTCGAATCCGATTGGTTTTGAGTTGCCAGAGATTGAAAGGGTCTCACCACGTGTGAATGCTTATTTTGCTGTTTTCATTTGAACAGTTAATTTTTTCTCGAGGAGAGGCATTTCTTTGAATTTCCAACGTTGTTCGATTTAATATTATCGAACGAGACCCATAAAATGCGAAGCAATCAGTTAGTCCGCGCGAGACCAAGATAAAGACACATGCCCGTAAATCTACCCCGCGTAGAGCAGCCACCGGACGCCGACTATATGTTTTCGATGATAATCGAATAAAAATGACCTCTCCGATTCTGTAGGCAGTTCGCGGAAGAGACATTACAAGCGAAACACATCCAAATGGAAGAGTACAACAGGTGAAATCGACCTGAATTGAATCAATTGGAAGTCATTATCGAAGGACGAAATGAAACCTCGTCTTTGAAATCAATCGGCGACATCACATTCGAAGGGACGTCGTCGAAGAAGGAGCGCATGACGACGACCAACGGAAACACTTCGGAGCACGACGCTTGCTCGGTGTTCGCCGACAAATCGATTTTCATTTGATAGCGAATGCTGCCGAATTGGCTCTCGTAGCTGCTCGGAGCGTTCGCGGGAATTCGCACTTGAATCGGGAACTGGTGTTTTCCGACAGGAAGACATACGCCAGTCTCGCATAATTGCACCGATGTGTCCAGAAAAACCTGAGAAGACAACAACAGAACATTTCGGCGAAATTGTTGAGAAACCAACTTTTTCGGTCTCAAATATCTTGTCCGTGTGTATATTGACCCATCCGGTTCGGCCGATTCCTTTGATTTCCGCCGTCAGCGAATGGACCACCGTATCCGGATCAGAGGAATCCAGCAGAATCTGAATCATTTCTAAAATCTTAAAATGGAATTCAAAATAAAAGAAAACTTTAGCATTCAGGTATTCTCCAGCCATAACTCGAGCTTCTGTCAGGACCACATTGATTTGAGTGGTGGGCATCTGCAAATTGGGCATTTTTTAAAAATTGATCCTAAAAATTGAAAAATTGATCCATTATCTCATTTTAATCCGTTTATCTTCCATTTTGTATTTGAATTCAATTTTTGAGATCTAAAACGTGATGAAACTAAAAAAAAGAGAAGAATAGGAAGGATTGAATTAGCTTCTCTAGCTAGGCAAATGAAAATAGAAAGAACGACGACGACGTCGTTTGAGGAGCGGCTCTCATGACGAGGAGAGTAGGAAGAAGAAGGTGAATTCATCGAGAAATAGCAGCCAAATTCCGGAAGCAGCCGCCGGCAAGCGTAACGCATCGTTCATCAGAAAATGAAAAAAAAAAGACACGAGAATATATATTTTATGTACACACTCGGCCGAAATACCCCCGGCAAAATAGTCGTCGAGTTTCGCTCTTCTTTTTTTTCGTCGAATTATATAAATACGATGTTGGAATTCGGTAGAAAGTTTGAGAACCTCAACGGTTATCGGCGATTTTTTTTTGTTGAGAAAAAGTCAAAACAAAATTTGATCTCTTATTTATCGCATTTTAAAACTATTTTTTTGTGGATCCGCTCAATTTTTTTTACTTTTGAACTTTTTTTTCTAAATTTATCGAGTTTTTCTTAAACGGCGAAAATCCAGAAAGTCTAATTCTTTTTTTGAAAATCACCAAAACTTGAATATAAATATTGTCGAGAAATGACAAATGTATCTAGGTGTCGTATGATTCTGCGTTTTGTACGCAATGCTAAGAGACAGTTACCGTAATCCTCGCAGCGATTTACGGGGACTTTTTTTTTTGAATTTCGCATATTCATTTTTTTTTATTTTTCGTTCAATTTTTTAAATTTTCTTTCGAAATTTTTTAATTTAAATTTTTAAATTTTGCAGAAACCGAGTTTAATAATTTATTTTGCAATTTTGGATTAAAATTTGAAACTTCGGACCCAAAGTTTTGCGACTTTTTGGAACTTTTGCAGAAAACGACATAGCACACTCGATAGGGAATTTCTTGATCTATTTGTGTGCAAAATTAGAAAAAATTCCAAACCACTAAGTAAAAACACCTCCCTTGTAAGAGACAGTTACCGTAATCCTCGCAGCGATTTACGGGGACTTTTTTTTTTAATTTCGCATATTCATTTTTTTCGCTCAATTTTCGTATTTCCCTTCGAAATTTTGTAATTTAAATTTTGCAGAAACCGAGTTTAATAATTTATTTAGCAGAATAAGCACTTTTAAACGACATTTTTTTGGTAAAACCAGCAGAGATTTAAAAGAAAACATTTTTGTCGTTAATAAAATTATTTATTCGTGTTTTACTTTTTGTACGCGTTTCTGTTTCTTGTTTTTTGTATTCTTCATTTTCAAAATAATTTTTAGAGCGACAAAATCTTCACAATAATTCCCAACTCAACTGGACAAATGGAAAAGTGCATATTCGGAAAAATAAATAATTAAATTCGGTTTCTAAAGGTTTTAAATATAAGATTTCTAAAGAAAATAAGAAAGCACAACAAAAAAATTAAAAGAAATTTAAAAAAAAACTCCGTAAATCGCTGCGAGGATTACGGTAACTGGCTCATCGCATTGCGTACAAAACTCCCACAACACCTGGATACACTTGTCATTTCTCGACAATACAATAATATTGTTTATTTTTGAAGGTTCCCATTTTATTTTGAATTTGTTCCGAATACACTTCAAACCATTTCAATTTCAGAATAATTCAGTTTTATGATAAAATATTGTAAAAGAATATTCAAATAATAGATAGAAAATGTTCACAAAAAAGGCCAAAAAGGCGATCGATAAATTCCAATTCGATTTTGAATTTAATAAAAAGCGGATCAACGGACCCTCATTCAAATACACACATTTAGGTTTTCAATGGTCCCGAATTCGAAAATGCAATTGTCTCGTCACCAATTTATATGGTTTTCACGAAACTGCAAATTTTGAGGGGTGTCGATCATTATGATATATATTTGTATTGGCAAAAAGAAGGAAACCAGATTCGGTGCTCATCAGGCACCTTTCCTAAAGTGAGTTTGATTCGCAGGTGAACCGTACTACGGTATTCAAATTCCCAGTATTTAAATCGAAATTTTAGCACAAAAAAGTGCGATGGTCCACAATTGTTGAAGATGCCTGTCGTTGGCAATATTTTCACTTTTTTTTCAATTCGTCTTTCAAAATTTGACCAAATAAACTCCATCGATGTCATGTCCAAAAATAGATGTTTTCGAAATATTTTGAGCAGTTTGCGTTTTTGGGTGACATTCTCGTTAAAATGGATACGTTTTGTTGAAAAATTCCGACAAATCGAATGAAAATTTGATGAAAAATAAAACGAAAATCGAAAACAACAGCTGCGCAATTTCGGCGAAGCAAAACGGGTAGTAGATCAAAATAGCCGCTGGAGAAATATTATTCGAGTGCGGTTCTTTTTTCTCTCGAACAAACACATTTGACCAACCTCTTCTTTGACATTCGATAATGTGAATCGCCGCATTTTTATTTGCTAGTTAAAATGACAATGTTGGCTCGACGAGCCAGAATATGCGAAATGGCGAATCTCGAGCGACCGGATGTTCGTTTGCGAAAACTGCTCGCAACACAGAATATATATATATAAATACATTTGAAAACTCGACGGAAACGCGAGCCGACCGATGTGTAATTGTGACAAATGATGCCCTGTCGACACACGCGATATCAACTTGTTGAAACATGCTGCCCCCATATTCAATTTTTGTTTGTGAAGAGAAAAATGAGCATTTTTGAAAGAAGTGCATTGGTTCGACGTGTGTGGGCAATCAGCTTCATCTTCAACATTGCAGTGTGTTGGCAACTTATAAGAAGAACCCCGAATTTGAGCGCCGCGCATCTATTTCGCCATTTTGAGACCAACCAGTGTGAAAATCGTGTTCAGCATCAAAAATAACCTAAGTGTACCAATTTTTAGGTTAGCGTCTTAAAAAGTAACTGCGTAGTTGTTCAAAATCGTTTTTTCAAAAGGTGCATCATTTTGGTCCCTTCAAATAAAATGCAAAAAAGTCCGCTTTATGGGGGGTGACTTTATAATTCTGCACCGATGTTTAAATCAATAAAAAAAATCAGGCATTTTGTTTCAAAGCCGACGCCAGGATGGGCCCAAGTCGAAAATTTAAATGCGCGCGCATATTCGGCTGGAAGTCGGACGCGTTGCGTATGCGTCGCGGTAGGCGTCAGCCCATGCTATTTTTATTTTTGTTTAATTTTTTTTTAATTTTTTGTAGAAATAAATAATAACAAAACATTTCTTTTTTTTCTGTGCAAAATCATTATATGCGTAATTTTGTGTAATTATTATTTTTCCAGATAATGAAAGCAGAAGCTCATAGAATTAAGAAGAATTTTTCCAAAAAATAACCTAAATATAGCAATTTTTATTTTAACATCTTAAAAAGTAACCGGCTAGTGGTTAAAAACCGTTATTTCGAGCGGTGCAGAACCTATGAAATGAGGCTGCACCGCTTGAAAATACGCTTTTTGACCATTACGTTTTAAGATGCTAACCTAAAAATTGGTACATATAGATTATTTTTCATGCTGAACACGATTTTCACACTGGTTGGTCTCAAAATGGCGAAATAGATGCGCGGCGCTCAAATTCGGGGGTTGGTTGGTCTTATACTGAATTGCCGAAGCTGCGCGATTTCGCGTATGTGGCGATCGAATTTTACCCCCTATTATTGTTCATAACTTTGTCGATTGTCAACGTTTTGAAATTCGAATTTCGAAATTGAATTCAGTACTTAAAACTACAGATATGTGTACCAATTTTCAGATCGACATCTGAAAAACTGGCCAAATGTTAGTGCGAAAATTTAAAATTGGTGTGTTTTGCAATCGCTTCACATTTATAAGACCACCTATAAATGGTCCGAAATCGAAAAATAAATAAGTTGCATGTTTTTATCGTTTTCCGTTAATTTTTCTGGGTCCGAACATGCCACGTCGACATTTGATCGCCAATATTGAAAATGATTGATTTGACTCAATCAGAAAATCCGAATGATCGAATCCAAAGATTTTTTCACAGCTAATTTGCTTTAAAAAGCTCGCAGAAAATATTTTCATAACATTATCAATTAAAGCAAAAAGCACAACTATCATGGAACTAAGCGTATACTAGGATATTCCATTCGAAAATCAGGCATTGGGCTCGATTTGATCGCAAATCGAAATCAACTAGAATTTTGATGTGTTGAGTGAGGATTCAAAAAGTTTGTCAATGAACAAAAATGTGCATAATAATATGCACATTTGTTTCAGAAAAACGAGCACTATGTGTAGATTTACGGTGAGTTTGATTCGCAGGTTATCCGGAGTACGGTATCCGAATTCCGACATTTCGAATCGAAATTTGAATTAGAATTGCTCGTTTTTTTTTCGATAGAAATAATAATAATAATTAATTTCAAAGAGTTGTGCATTTATTTTTTTTGGGGTGTTTGCCAAATATGTTCAACATACCGTCTGTTTAACTGGCACTTGTGCCAATGGAATAATCGATGAGGCAAATTGTCGAAGAATATTTCCAACCGACGACCTTCGTGTCGTTTTCGATGTAAAAACGGGCATTTTCGGGGTTTATCTAAGCACACAAAAATGATTTTTTTTGGTTTGAAGTTGAAGAAGAAAAGAAGGAAAATGAATGGAATTGGAATACAATTTGATGCATAAAATATGAGGCGAGTTTGGCGAGAAAAAAAAAATAAACAAACAAATAGACAATTTGGTGTAATTAGTTCGAGATGAAAAGAAAACGCCAAGAATGCACCTGCGCCCAATCGATTCGGGACCACATCTGTCCACTATTTTTTTCGCATTTTTTTTCTGCCCCCCGTCTAAATATGACTGAAATGAGCCGCAAAATTTGATTAGGATGCACACATTCGGACCAATTAAATTTCGCAAGAAATTTCAAAGAAAAAAAAGTAAGCATGCAGCGTAATTCGCAAAAATAATAGGATTTTCACGAAATCGAAATTAATATTTTGGTTTTCGAGAAAAAAAAAGTGTCGAAAATGGCCGGTTTTATAATTCAAACCAAAATTTTCGAGTTGTTCGGCAACAACGGAAATATTGAATTTCGGCGAATTTCAAGATTTTTGCAAAAAAAAATCTGTTGAGATATTATTTCGAATAAAAACCGACAATAATCTATTTTAATAGATTTACTGAAATAATATATTTTACAGACTAATTTTATAAAATGGAAAATCGAAATTTAGAGAAATGGCACAATAAAAAACATTCAATTCATATGTGCTAAAAATTCGCTACGAAAAGTTTATAGTGTTTTTTTTTTTGAAACGACTGATCAAAAGGAGGGAACTTTAGCTTTTTTTTTTAAATTCAAATTTACAAATTTGTATATTTCTGACAAAACTACACAAAAATGTCGAATAGGAACGTCGCTTTAGCTCGAGAAACAATGGCACATAGCCAATTTTTGAATTTCGACCAGTCGTTTGAAACCGACAATATTGCCAATTAAAAGTGCAAGTTTTTTTTTGAAGAAGGCAGTATTTGAAAAAAAAGAGCATCAGAATGAGTTTCTTTTAAAAAAAAGCAATGCTTCTTTCTGCTATCGTTTCTTAATTTTTAGAAATTCGGGGAAGGCTCAAAATATCACAAAGAAACAACTAGATTTATGGAATCATAAAATCGGGGTTCTTTCTTTTTTTTCTGTTTTGATCAATTGCAATGAATCTGGAAACAAGCAACGGAAAATAATAAGAAACGCGTGAGGCGTAGCCGTTCTTCTAATGGATATGGACTATGAACTTGTATAAAACAATAAATTCGCCGCCCCAAATATATTCTAGTAGCATTCTTTTGCGCTTTATTTTTAAACCTTTTATTCGCGAAGCAAATTGCTTTTTTCTCACGATTTATTCCATTCGACACTGAAATATTTCTGCAAACACCACAACTTACGTGTAAATGCACAACTCTTTGAAAACACAAACATTTTTTTCTTGTAACAATTTTAAATAGTCAGATAATTTCTTGTGATATTTTTGATTTTTATTGAAAACGTTTAGCATTTCTTTTTGTGGAAAAAATTGTATTATTTACCTTACCAAAATTGCCGTCGGAAATTCGCCGAAAAACGATTGAAACGATTCGGTGTCGGTGATTTTATTGACCAAATACATTGTAGATTAATATGAATGATAATCGAATTGTGATGTCGATGTAAAGTGGGAAAAACACGCGTATTGTGTGCGTTCGAAACGAAATCTGATACGACCGACGGCGGTTTGACAAATTTGTGTGAAATCCGAGGCGGACACTTTTGAACCAAAAAAACCGAATCAGAACTCACCTCTTCCCATCGAAACATCGTCACATTTTCATTGGCAATGAACATCGTCGAATTGCTGGAAGTTGGAAATGGAAAATTTGGTAGAAATGCGTTTCGTTTCGAAGTAAACGAATTATTTGGATGGAGAATTGAGGGATGGGCCGGTTGGAAATTCGTTGAGAGTGCACCTCCTTTTTTTGGAGAATTGAGCGACGATCAGGTTTTATTCATGAGAATGCTCACTTCATTTTAGTCTATCAAAACAAAAGCGAAGAAAATGAAAAAAAAATAATAAAAATATGTCACTTTTTTGTCATAAAAATGTCAATCACTAGTATGTATCAAAAACAAATTGCCAGGATTTTTGCAGAAAAATTAAAAAAAAATTAATTTGTTGATAGAACTTCATTTTTGAGCTACTTCACTGAACTAACATCTGTCTAATTTGAAAAATATAAGAAATGTCTCTATTTTTCTTGCCCAATATTCTTGGTTTTGCTGCAAATAATTAGTGAATCTTGTCAGAAACAAAAAAAAAAGAAAACGAATCGCACAACTATTAGGGACAACGAAAAACCAATTATTCGAACGAAATGTCGACAGCACATTTTGAATAAATTTGAATTCTTTTTTTTTTTCGTTTATTCCAATGCCCTCTTCGAATCGTATTTCGATAAAGTTTCAACATTTTTAGGATTGAATTCGCTGATATTTGAGAAGTTTTCACCTAAAAGAAAATCGAAATTATGATATTTTTGATGTAAAAACTCGAAAAAGGAAAATTTTAATTCAATAAAAACTTGTCGTTAAGGGTTTTACTAACCCCCTCCCCCAAAATAACTTCGCGAAAAATCATAGACCTATTCAAAAAGACCTATTCATGAAATGAAAAAAATTAAAAAAAAATCAATTTTTTATAGGGAATTCAAATGAAAAAAATTGATTTTTTTAAAATTTTCTTTTCATTAGAATTCCCTATAAAAAATTGATTTTTAAAATTTTTTTCATTGTATGAATAGGTTCAAAAATAAAAATGAGGTTTCAAATTTGTAATTTTTTTTAACAATTCACTTTGCTCAGAGCAACAACTCATTTGACTGATCGGTTATTCGGAAAATTGGTGCTTGAGCAAGACGAAATATTTTTTTAAATTAATTTTGAACATAATTTTCGATTAGGGATGATTTTGAAAATGCTAAATTCATTCAGAATACGAATATATAGGGGAAACATATTGACGAGCACATACGAGTTTCGGACGGTGTTGCTTGTTATTCAAATTTTGGCGCCATAATTATTTCGATTTGATCTAATGAAATACATTGAAAATTACAGTAGATATCACAGGGCCATGCGAAAATTTGTTGATTTCGCGCTAAGATCAAAAATGGCTAATGAGTTTCAAATTTGTTAAATTCACTCTCCTACGACAATAGAAATTGAGGAGAAAGAAGGTAAAAGTAGAAGGTAAAAGCTCTCGGGCTGTTTTTAATAGATATAACACACCCTCTTGAAAATGGGTGAAAAATTCGAAAATCGGGACATCATTTCATACTATCTTACTTTTAATTTAAATAGCTAAAAAATATAAAACTGCATTTCCATTTTAAATTTAATTCTAAGTAAAAAAAAATTTAAAAAGTTTTAATGAAGTTTGATAACTACTTTATAAATTACGGAATACCTTAGATTCTTGGCTTTTTTTTTTCATTGTTAGTTCAATAATGTCAAAATGTTTCAAGAAAATCGGTAAAGACAAAGAGATAGTGATGTTTCTCATTGAGCAGTTTGAATGATCGGCTCATCATTATCAAATGACATCCTCATTCATCATCGTCGTTGCATATGACGTCGAAAGAACAAAAAAAAAAGGTTGTAGTGAGACACGGCGTGTTTGAATGGAAAACAAGCTCGTTTCTGCTGCTCCGATAAATACCTACTTAGTTTTGGAGCACCTACTGCTCGAAAACAATCAAGTAATTTGAATGATGACGAGATAGTGTGCTGCGGTGAAGAGACGCTAGACACTGGACGTGGACTCTGCGCCTCAAATTCCTAGGCCACTTTCATTTAATGTTTATTTTTTTATTTTCCATTTCGGTATTAAATTTCAACAAATTTAGGGCATATTCTCATTCATTCGTTTTAGGAGAATGTCGTTATCCTCAATTGGAAATGTAATTAACAAAGTCGAGGGCACCGTAGGTTTTTAATTCTTGGATAGCTTCGAAATTTATAATTTTAGAATGAGGTGAAAACTGCAGTAGAATTTGGAAGAGCATTGTTATTCGAAGCCCTCGATGCTCTCGACGGCGAAAAAACAATTGTGTGGGATCGGGACAGACAAGTCATGCATAGGGTTAATCTCGTAAGTTTTTGCGGTTCTCTTCACAGATGTTGTAGTTTTTCAGGTGAAAATAGCAAAATATTTCACGACTGTTTTTTTTTTACTTTTAGTTAAATGCATAATTATTCTTTAAACAAAATAAAATCAAACTAAAAATTAAACTCGCCAGTAGAGATTTTTTCGATTATCTTTTGGAACAAATTAAATGCATTATATTGTCGATGTCGCGTGTCTTTGGAAAATTGGCAAAATGCCATAAAGCTTATAACAGTGGTCTTGGCGCCGAACAAAATGTATTGATTTGCGGGTCTAAGTATCAAGATAGTTTCAAGGCGCACACCAAGATGTCTTCATAAATTCGTTTGGCATTTAGTCAATTTTCCGCCGACAATACTGAATTTTTATTTATTTCTTATTCTTAAAATGGAATAATATCAAGATTCCAGTTCGCTGGGCCTTCGCTTTTAGCAGCCCACGGTGTCGTCGCCAACCACGAGATTGAAACAAAGCGAGCCGCGTCGACTCAGCATGTCGTCTTCTTCATTTCAGCCACCATGCCCTCTTTAGATCTTCTATGTTCTTATATTGATGATGTTGCAAATGATCCGGTAGTTAATTCCATATTAAAATAATTTAATATGTTTTTTACGTTTTCCTTCAGAAAACGCTCTACCATGTGTTTTTCATTCCTGAAGCTTGGTATGTGATACGAGAAGAACTTAAAATGAGGAACGGCGGAAAAGTGAGTGAGACTCTGAATTATTTATTCGTATAAAAGGGAATTGATTTTAGTATTTGGAAAAACTCGAAGCAGTCAAAGAAATCCCGCTGTATTGGCTTCCGAGGGATGGGGAGTGTCTTTCACTTTCGCAACCGCAAATTCCATCAAAGTCTGTTATTTCCAAAGTACGTTGATCAAATCTATCAATTTAGATTGCTATTAAACTGTAATTGGACATATTTGCACAAGTGCGCCGTTACGTTAAGCCAATTAATAAGCATGAGTCGTCAATGTTGCGATCCCCTCAATAACCCAGAGATTCCATTGTATTATCAAGGAAAATGGTCGAAAGATGTGTCCGGAATGCTGCTAAGGCTTAAAAACACTCAGGTAATAAATCAATCAATATACACATAAATAAATAAGTTGTATATATATTTTTTTAGGAGACAAGTGCAAAATCTCCTCTCATTTTCGATTCCCACATGAATATCAATCGAATTGTAAGTTTTTTTTTATTTGAATTTTTTATTGAAGTTCCCCGATTAGGTTTTGATTGATCGCTGGATTGATCCACTCACGCCGATGCTCACTCAGCTCACATATTCGGGAATAATCGATGAGCTATATAGGATTGGCCCCATCAATTCGGTAAAAGTACCACTTGAGGAGTTCGAAGAAAAACAATCAGACAATCCATTTGCAATGAAGGATATTTATCTAACAGACGAGGTAGCCTTTTCGCCTCGCGAAATTTCGAATAAACTGAGACCATTCTCGATTCTAGATCTACCATCGACTCAAACATTCGCATATAAACGCATTTGGTCAAGAAGCTGCCAAAATTTTAACAGATCTTCGAAATGATGAACAGGTTTGACTTGAAATGGAATTCAATCATCCAATTGGTCATTTCAGTTTGATCGCGAAAAAATGTCGGTAGCTGAATATGCGGTTCTTGTCAAGAAGATGCCAAGAATCTTGAAAAGGAAACAGTTGACATCAACGCATATGAGATTAGCTGAAATGTCGAGAATGCAATTGTATTGCAGATTATCCGATGATGTCAAAGTTGAAAAATGTAAATCGATGATTAAATGTTCGTGGTAGTTAATTGTTATTTAGTGCTACTAGAATCGTCGGATGGCGATCGTATTCTCCCATATATCGAGGAACTCATCTACGACGCAGCTCCATTGCTCCGCGTTCTTAGATTGATATCTGTTCATTCGCTGACATCCGGTGGATTTAAATCGTCTGTTCTACAGCAATATCGCCGAATTGTAAACCAGGTTCTTTAAAATTAATTATAATTCATTAATCTGATATTTTACTCAGAGCTATGGTTCGGCAGCGCTCAATAAGATGCTCAAAATGCAGAAAATGGGTTTGATTCGCGAGAAAGGCGGGTCTGGAAAAATGGCGTGCGAATATGGACACGTTCTCTACCAACAAATGAAGAAACAATACGATTTGTTGAACCCGAATATTATTGAATCGGTAAATTGATTTATTTTTTGGTTATAACTGAAAACTTAGAAAATGGACGATTTGGCATATGCATACAGCGGATATGCACCACTCCTCGCCAAAATTCTCGAGGAAGGCGATAAACTGCGTTGGGTGAACTGGCAAAATATATCAATTGGTGGAAATGGAACAGAAAAAAAGAATGTCGACGATATTGCTGGTAAATATATATATTTTTTAAAGTATATTCGTTTTTCAAATTACACATATAAACACTTAAATATTACATTTGCAAAAAAACGAGCAATCTTCTCCGATTTACGGTGAGTTTGATTCGCAGGTTATCCAGAGTACGGTATCCGAATTCTCACTGTTTAAATTCGAGTTTGAATTACCGCCTCAAAAAAGTGCGGTGCTATGCACAACTATGCAAGGCGCTCGTTTTTTCGCGATTTAAATAATTGAAAATCGAACATTTGTGTATTTCAGAAGCCGATCCACGCGGAACTTGCCTTTTTGTGATTGGCGGAATCACGCGTGCCGAGATTGCAGTGATACGAGAGACGATTCCAAGCATTTCGCTCATCGCCACGACTTCGGTTATAACCGGCGATGTACTTCTTGAAAACATTACAAATATTTAATTATCTTCATCATAACCTGTGATATGTAAATAGCTTCCGAATTTAAAATGAATTTTTACAGTACCTGACAGAGTTGTTGCATCAGTGAGTTTGGGACAGATAGCCTCAATGGTATCTTATGGCAACATTTTCCCTTTGTTCGCCATTGTCTTTGCATAGCCCATAGGCCATCATTAGTTGTCCGAAGGGGCAGGGCCGAATGGCCCAGATGGAGAGTTTGCATGGGTAAACATCCTTCGAAGCTTTTTCAGAAAATTTTCAAAAAGAATTCAACCGTTTGCACATTGTGATTAAAAAAATTTAGTATTAGACAGGGTTTGGATTGCTCCATGATGGTTCTTTTAAACAGCGAAAACTAAAAGTAGAACTCGAAAAATGTACATTCTTAACTCTGAAATGTTTCAAGCAAAGATTACCGGGTATATTAATGGCAAACAATTCGTTCATTTTTAGGTATTTTGTTCTAATAAATGTTTTCAGCAAATAACTTCCTACATAAAACAACATTGTTTATTTTTCCCAATTTTTTGTAATTATTAGCCGCTATTTTTAGCAAACTTGTGTTCTAGATTCCTATTTGTGTTTTCGATTTCGTTGCGAATCGGAATATATTCATTTCGCAATCTTTTTGCGACCATCACGAATATCGATCATCTTGAAACAATTACACATTTATAGCTTCTGTACAATCTATATTTGAAACGAAAAGCATTGAAATGAAGACGAACAACAATAATTCCCATAATGTATTTTCGTGTGTTGAACCGTTTGAAGATGAACAAAAAACACACAAGTCATCAAGTTTGAGTTTTGAAAGTTACAACGAACGAGGAGAAAATTGGAGAAGGATGATAATATTACAATAGAAAAATAACAAAAGGGGAATAAATGAATAAAGCAACATTTTTTTGTGTTTCTATTGAATGAACAAGCTTTCAATACGAGATATGTCATGTTGATTTTTTTTTCATGGTTGCAACCAAATCAACAATATCTAACAAGTGGAAACAAGAAGGAATTGCGGCGATGGAAAGCCTACTGTAATTGACACAACAGAAATTACAAGTAAATTTTTGTCAAAACCAGTCGCGGGGAAAGTATGAATGAATAATAAACTTATTATATTTGTAGGATTTCACTAATTCCTTATTAACCTTATTAACCAAAAAATGAAGGAAGAAAGGAAGGAAGGAATGAGTTGATAAACGAAAGAAGAGAATGAAACGAAAAGGATGAATATTGAAAAAAGAAACGAAGAGCACGAATGGTGGCCGAGACCCGTTTGTTTAATAATGTGGGTAAAATGAGTGGATTGAACGACGAGGAACAAAAAAGAGAATAATTGAAATTATGATGTGGACGAGTTAAAATGAATGGGACCGACGAACACGAATAGACAAGGAACAAACGAACAAAAAATACGAACATTTAAACGATAATGAACCACTCGGATAATCATACAACGATTGAAGTAATCGAACAAAATCGGTTGAAGCAGATATTCGACCCGAATATGCATTCTAATCTAGAATCAGCACCCAACTCAATTATTGTCGTCTTCACGGTTAATTGAAGGACTTCGAGGAATGCTCGGCGAGCTGATTGAGCCAGCGGCAGCACGAATCTAAAGATTTCACATTCGATCTCATCACTTATCGTATTAAATCTTACCGCTCCTCTTGGTCGGAAAAGCTCGTGACGGGCCAATTCGAAAACATCGGCGCGGTCTTCTTTTTTGTATTGCAGGCATCTACGTATGAAATCCTGCGCGACCGAGCTCACCTAAAAATGACGTTGAAAAAAAAAATGAAAGCAGCTAGGTTGGAGACAAACCTGTGGCTTCGGCGGGAATGAAACCTCGCGAGCATTTATAATAGTATTGTACTCGAGAATCTTCTGTTGCGTCAACTCATTTCCGAATGGTTTCTTGCCATAAATGCATTGGTAGAAAATAACACCAATGCTCCAGACATCCACTTTGCAAGTAATTTTCGGCGGCGGCACGATAAACGTCTCGGGCGGCAAATACCAATAGGTTCCCGCGAATTGAGACGTCAACTCGATACCATCATGATCATGATCAGCTTCGGAACCTTCCATGATCTTTGACAATCCAAAATCGGTGATCTAAAACGAATCAAATAAAAACATGAAATCAAACTCAGCGAGTTTTACCTTGATAGCACCACACGCATTTCCAGATTCCAACAAAATATTTGCTGGCTTCAAATCATAATGAATAATCGGATCTCTCTTCTCATTCAAGTACACCAAAGCAGAAACAACCTTAAATGATGAAAAGTTAATTAATAATTGTTCAACAAAAATGTACCTGCATGATGATACTTCTCGCTTCTTTCTCAGATATCTGCTTGTTCTGTTTCAAATAGAAATCGAGATCATTTCCAGGACAGTACTCGAGAACAGTACAGAATGAGTGATTGTCGATTGTGAAAAGATCGTACAATTTAACAATTCGGCAATGGTCAAGCGATTTGTGAATATCCTTCTCGCGCATTGCGTGCTTCACATAGTTTGCCTTTAAAGAAATGTGATTGATATTCTGAATCAATTTTATTAAAATCTCACCTTCTTCTCCTCCTTCCAATCCTTATTCACGTGATGGATTTTGCATGCGACATATCGATTCTCTTCAATGTCGAACGCCTTCCAAACCTCACTAAATCCACCTTTGCCAAGCAAGCTGAGCATCAAATAGCGTTTGTTCAGAAGCGAGTGATCCTTGTACGACGAAGCAGCCTCATTCGCAACACGTTTCAACTCGCGAATGTGCAATTGACGCTCTCGCTCAAGCTTCTCACGTTCAATTTGGAGGTCGAGCTCCTCCTTTTTGAGATGTTCACGACGAAGCTTATAAATCTCATCCTAAAAATTAACAAGAAATGAACTAATAAATTTAATATCATAAACTAACCAGCTCGATATATTCTTGATAATTTATCTCCTTTGGCTCTTCGGGCCTTCGGAAAATCGCATCATCAGCATTTCCATTAACACTCGACGTTGATGGCTGATTAGAATTGCTGTTCGAATCAAGATTCAATGCAGCTGCCGCACGCTTCGTTCCTTCTTTTCCAATTCCCTGCGGCCGCCGCTTTTTGAGCAAAGCAGTGGCGTTGATGAGATCGTTGCGCTCATTCAAGATCTGCTGCTGCTTCTTCTCAATCTCATCAAACGCATAGCCGTCGCACCACTGATCGCGGAATGAATCGGCGGTTCGTGTTGTCTTGAAGCAACCAATGCGAGGCGTGTCAGCGGTTGTCTTATCGCGCAACGCTTTCCGCTCGATCACATTCTTTTCAATCAACAATCGCTTGATCGTCTCTTTACCGGCCTCATTCTTACGGCGCTCGTTCGAATACTATAACAAAAAGGTCATGTTGACACAACAAATAACGATCGTTTTGAGAAGAACCGAAATTTCCAAAATAATCTCACCTTGGCCTGCAACTCATCAATTTGTCTTCGGAAATCTTCGATAATACGATCTCTTTTCGCAATTTCATCGACAGCCGACGTCGAATTCTGCAACAAAAACAATTATACATGCTTTTGCGAGAAAACATTGTTTTTTTTTTTCCTACTTGAATTCCTTCATCCGTTTGACACTCGCCATCTATCATGCGCACAAAACTTCGCGGACCACCCGGCGGTGATTGATTCGAGTTTGAGTTCGACTCAGACGACGAGTAATGCTGCTGTTGTTGCTGACTCGCTTGTGTTGGAGTTGGAGTTCCGCGACTATTCGGCCCGCACGTCCCAACACCCCAATACTAAAAAGAAATGAAAAAACTATAATAAGACATTGAGACACAACACCAACCGCATTTTGTATTTCATGCTGAGGTGCCGAATTCGGACCATCATTTCCGTAGCTATTCGATCCGTTGGAATGAGCTGTTTGCGCGTGTTGCGCGGGACCATTCGAAACACTAGCGAGGAAGCGTTTCGGAGACGCTTGCGAATGCTACAAATGTAAATATCGGCCGATAACAAGAAAATTGTAAATGGCTCTACTTACCTTAATGAACTCGGTTATCTTCCTCTCATGTTTCGGCGTCGCCTGGTCCTCATTAGCCAACCTCCGCCGCTTCCGAACTTTCTTCTCGGTTGTCGTCGCGCTTTGCGGAGCAGCTGGCCTGTAAGTAAGACAAAAATCATAAAATGCAAAGTACAAAATCAAATGGTACCGTTTCGGTGTGCCACCTTGCTCGGGCTCGCGATCCGACACACTGCCAGCGGATGATAAATTACTCGACTCATTCATGTGTTGGGACTGTTGAGATGGCTGCTGTTGTTGTTGCGGCTGTGGTTGGGACGCCGCCGTCGATGATGACGTCATCGGCGCGTACAGAGAATGTTGCGTTTGCTGCATTTGTTGATACTGCTAAAAATAATAAACAAACCAACATTTAAAAATATTTTCGAGCCATGATTTACCTGTTGCTGTTGCTGTTGTTGTTGCTGCTGCTGTTGTTGTTGTAAGTGCATTTGTTGCATGTGCTGTTGCTGTTGCGTCGCGTACTGAGTCTGCGGCGGCTGCTGAATCCGATAACATTTAATCAATACTCGTTCAATGACGCAACTCACCATTTGCATACTGTACGGCATATGATGATGCTGTTGTTGCTGTTGAATCTGTTGAACATGATGATGATTATACTGGTGAACGTTTTGAGGAGCTGACGAATGGTTTCCGGGTGCGAATTCCTGCAAACACTCATCATTCGAATTGCTAGACGCACAACGCGACAAACCCGCAGAGTTCCATCAATGCTGTCCTCGGACACCGGTTGGAGGCACTGATTCATCTCATTCGTCGGCGATGTTCGCGACGGCGGAATCATTCCAGAGCCATTCGTGTGCACCTGGTGTTGCTGCAACATCATAATCGTCGAATTCGACGAACTCGGATGGTGCACGAGATACTGATGCGTCGTGCCAGGACCGAGTATTCCCGATGACATGTACGCTACGTTCTGCAAAAAGAAACACGGAACATTAATATAAATAAATAAACATTTCGATGGTGACTAAAAATTCGAAAAAAAAAACTGCCTACAATTTGCAAAAATGTCTCATATAACACAAAATTGGCTTAAATTCAGTTTTCGAAATGTATTTTTTTAGATTGAGAAAATCTCGCTGTTTGGATTAGTTAGATAAAAAAAATCTACAGCATCGTAAAAAGAATCAGGCAAAAATTATTTAAAAAAAAAACACATTCGCGAAAACCGGATCTGGCTTTCCAATTTTTCACTAATCGAAAACAGGTTGTTGTGGCGAAACTAAAACAGAAATACACCGAATAACTTGAAATGGCATAATGCGTTCGAGAGCGGAAATTCGAGATGAAAGATAGAAAGGTTGCACCGACAAAAATCGGACGGATGGATGGACGGATGAATGAATGAATGAATAGCGTTCCTAGTTGAGCAGCACGAATAGCAGCAGCCGTTGTCGTCCTCAAAAATCTAAAGAGTGCGAAAAAACGCGGGCGATTTGAGACGAGCGGGATGTGAGAGGAACGACGCTATGTCTGCGTCTCTTCGACTCCGCACACAAAATCGTCGACTCTCGCTATGTCGCATTTTCTGGCACCCTCTCGCTTATCTCAGTGGAGAGAGAGAGATGCGCGTTTGGCGCGAAATGTTCTCAATTTATACCTCGAACAACAAAACCCATCGACCCTCGAACACATTTTCCAATTGCACATATTAATTAGGAATAATAAATTGAAATTGAGGAATGAATACTCACCGAAACTTGACCCGTATCACCAGTCGCCATTGTTCCCACAACCTGCTGCTGCTGCTGCTGATGCTGTTGCGGCACTGTAATTGTCGAGGCGGTCGGCACTGGTGCCTGGTTTGAAGACGAGCCGTTCAGACTTTGTGCCTGCAATAAGCGAAAATCAATAATGTTGTTGGCGGTGCCAATGACGGTTGTGATGTCAACGTCATTTACTAACGAGCATTAGTGACGAACGCGGAACGAGAGGGTTAGACGCAAAAATCGAAACGCACAAAAATTTTTGGCGAGATAAAAAACGAAACGAGCGCAATTGAGAGTGGCCGATCAGCCGAGAGTAGGCGAGTGTGTCAAGCAGGAAAAGGTCACTCACTCATCGCGATTGCGCACGGTCGCATTTATAATTTCGTATGATTGATTTGGGCCGAATTTCAAAATGGAAAGTGATCTTCGAAAAATTATTTTTCGATTTGAAATTCACTTAAATGTGATTTTAACGAGCAAGGTCCCAACACTGTAGAATGTTTTAGATTTTCAGAATTAAAATATTCGATATGTTGGGAAATAGACTAGCAAATGCGAATTGAAAAGATTCGTGTTAATCGCTTTTTCGGGAATTGGCATGACGAGAATCTTTGTTCGTCAAAAACGGAATCGAAAAATATCGATTCGATCGAATGCCAACAAACATCATTATTGGGACAATAAAATGCGTTGGAATCGCTATATCAGGCAGTTTGAATATTTTTGAAGTAAACGTTCACTGATGGTGAATGGGAAGAGAAAAATCAGCGGTGACAACACATAAGAAAAATTACGAAGCAAAATGAGAAGGCGAAGACAGAGATGTGAAGAAAAAAAACCGCACAACAACCAAAAAAAGCAGCATCACCATCCCAACACACACACACACAAAAAACATACGTTGAACGCTAAAAAAGCGAAGGCAGACACGATGACAGAGGTCTCGCCATTCGCGCACTAGCCATACTTTTTGCGTATGCGATGCGAAATAGAAGGAGAGTGTGTACATGTTTGAATGAGCGCTATGAGCGAGCATACACAACCAGCCACTAGTCCACGGGTGCACCTCAATTCGCCGCCGCTTTTTTCGCCCACTGGCCGGCCGGCCGGCCGTGCATTACTATTCGAATGATACGAGACATTTCGCTCCACTCTCAAAAAAGGTCAACTCTCATTTCTGCTTTTCCGACGCTCTCGTCGTTAGATTTCACGCGAAAATCGGCAACAAATCAATGAAAAATCGAATATTGTCGAACAGCAAAAATGGGTTTTCGAAATTATTCTTTTTTTGCGCTTGGTCCAACCTTCAAGATCCAATACAGCACAACCACGAATTGCTGTCGAATCGGACGACACATCCGAAAGCGAAATGAACATACACGCACGCACACACACACACACACACAAACAACGAATCCGCGCCACAAAACGAATTGATCAATATTGCTTATGAAAAAAAAGTAGTCAAGTCGCAACCGCAGAATTACTTGGATAAACAAAAAATATGTAGGCCCATAGGCCTGCCTACATTTTTTGCCGCCGACATTCGAAAATAGTAACTAATTGATTTCATATTTTCATTTATTTTGGCATTTTGCTTGTCAAGAGCAAGAAAACAGACACACATTACGGAAATATTTAAAAGAAAATACGAAGATGTTTAGAACATTTTAAGATTAAATCCAAAAGTTCGCACACAACATTCGTTTTTTTTAATACAAAAAGATTCTAATGCACTTCGTGATACATCCAGGTGATTAATAATATTGCAATCGACTGGATAAGAATATAATAAATCGCAAAAACTGAAAAAAAAGGCCGTTTGCGTCATTAGTAACACTTTATCGCTCGCAACCCGACCACACTATTTCTCATTCAACAATCACAAAGCAAAATGGGCGATGCGGCAAGGAAAAAAAAGTGACGAAAGAATGCAAAGCGGCTGGAATCAATAAATTGGATATTTCTCGTCAATGTCGAGGCCCGGGCACCACGAAACGAGACGCAAAGTCCAATAAGCGCTTTGTTTTGCCTCGACATCTTCATTTCCTTCTCCTTCTTTATTCCAGTTGTCGCTGTCCTCATGCTCCGCAACCGCCGAAACCCGAGTGCCTCCCAAAACGCCAAAAATGCCAATCCCGCTGCTGCTCGTCCGTCCGTCGGCAACGCTCTCCATCATGATACTACATTCATTTTCACTTATCCAAAAACCCAAAAACCGATGAACAATGAGGGCCCACTCGGCTGACTAGCCTGCGCACTTCTTGGTCCGTCTCTTCCCGGATAAAACACAAACCGAGAGCACCACACACAGTGCGCACCCAATGAGACCAGAGAAACAACAAAAAAGGACTTCGAAGCAAAAAACAAGACAAATATGTGAAAGGCGACGAAGAGGAGGAGAAGTTTAGATGAAATGAAAAGAAAAGAAAATGGATTGCGCTTTTTTCTTTCTTCGCACCTTTATATGTGAGTGACACATCTTGGCAAAAAGAAAAAATTATTCAACGTGTTATGTTAGAAACGAGGAAAAGCGTCGCTCGGTCGACGAGGAAGACAAGCGGGAAAATGCGTCGACCGTGTTTAGAACAATATGTCATCTAGGGCCAACCAACCAACATCCAAAAAATCAATGGCGATTCATTTCTTCGTCGTAATCAAAATTCCCGGAATCCTTCGGCAGAAATTGCGCTCTTATCAATCATCGTTTGTTGATTGTCGGGTTTCGAAACCCGAGTTGTTCGTACGAGAAAATACCGAATTCGAGAGAAGCATACACGCTATAGAATATTCTCCCGTCTAATTACTTATAAAAGACAACATGACAAACCAGGTAATGAATGAATGCTAATCGAAATAAAGTGTTCTTCAAATTAAAAATGGGAACTTCATACAAGATCACGAGCGGTACGAAATTTAGACAAAAATCTGCGAGAATAAAACGTGAATTAGTGTTTTTTTTGTATCGTTCTCGAGCTCGACACCACACGATTATTGAGAACCGCAAACACATCACATGATGATCATCATCCGCTTTCATCAATACAATAAAAAAAGCGTTTCGTCGGAATACAGAAATGCAAACAAACTGACAAATTGGAAACAAACTCCGAAAATTTAGAAATCGATCGAAAATATAAAACGACTCGCAAAAACGAGCAGAAAAGGCAGTCACGAATCCGAGTGCAAATGCTTCTTCTAATTATAGACTAAGGAGTAGCACCTGTTCAACGCGAAAGTCGCCCTCCAAAACGAACCGACGAACAATTTTGAGCATCGGAACAATTCTTTCAGTTCTATGAATGAATACCACTATTGCAATTGTGATTGTGATTGGATTGGCGAGAAAAGGGGCGAATGGACAGAACGAGAAGGGTGATGAACAAAAAAATGAACACAATCGATGAGTGTATGAGCCGCAATCGGTCCGCAAATTCCGCGCCGCACGAAAACACTGTTGCCGCAACAGATACGCCGACGTCGAAGGAACCGAACAAAAAATATGGAAGGCGGAGGCAAAGACAACAACGAATAACCTTTTCGACCATCAACTAAACCGATATATGAATTCAGGCAATGAGATGAGGGACGGAGGAAACGAGGAAGCGAGAAACAGCGAGACATACACCCACCAGCCAATATTGATCCAATAAAAATCCACACAGATACATCAAAAATCATTTCGCGATGAGAGGCTAAATTTTAGGTGTTTGCAAGACGTTTTTCATAGAATAACGCCCAAAGAGACTGCCGAAACAAGATCGAAAAGAAAGTCACATGGAGTTTAAGAGATAACGCATTCCAATCAGCAAATATCTCAAATTGCGACAACGAAAATTGTTGGTCGCGGCAGGCAGCTGAAGTAGTCGAAATGCGTTGTTATCGAAGTGATACTTGTTCCTTATGTCATTCATTCATTCATAAATGCAAAAAAAAAAGAAAAATGGCGACACAATAATGATAACAGCATGGGAAAATCGCGCAGGGTGCGACATATCCGCACCCCTCAACAATTTTCATTTGACCAAATCGTCGTGTAAAAAGTGACAAATAAACTAATCGAATGACTTGCATCTATTTCGGTCTTTTATCAACAAATCGAAGGGCGATTCGATTTCAGACGTTCTCTATTGCGAAATGAACAGTAAACCGTGGAAGAGAAAAACTACATTTGAGATTTATATTTGAGTTGCCCTTTGTTTGAAAACAAAATAAAAAAGTAATCTAGTAGGCCACAAAAAAAAAGAAATGAAATGATGGCTCAACCTAACCAAAAAAACTGCGTTATTCAATGCTCTCAATTTCTAAGCAATTTTCGTAAGTTTCGTGTGAAAGTTAATCAAACTTTTACGATTTTCGGAAGCCTAATTTAAAAAGTGAATTTCAAACAGCTCTCATTGTCGTTTTCGCGCAAATAAGGCGTCTGCGTTGAAAATGAGCGCAGCCTCATATATCCTAATTTTCGTCGAGCTACTTTAAACTTCTTTCCCCATTTATTGACTTTCAAGTGAGCTGAATACCACGTGCTCCTCCTTCTAAATAATTCATGATTTTCGGAAACAAATTCAAATATTAAAAAAAAATTTTGTTTTCTCACTTGATATTGCTAGACACGTAATTTCAGATTGTCGAAAAAGAATAACAAAGAGAAATATAACGTTAAGCGGCAAATAGGACACACATACAAACAGAATCACGAATTGAATAAGTTGCATTCGGCGAGCTGTTTAGAGAGCACACGTGATGACGAGACGTCAAGTTGGTGGGAAGACCACACTCGGTTTACCACATGAAACAGCCCCTCCAGAGAAAGCGCGAAACAGTGCTCCGCATAAAAATCGCCGTCCTGATTAGATGTGAGCGCACGAGAGCAACAAAGAGCGTGTGTGTGTGTGTGTGTGTATGTGAGAGCCCAAGCCGCACATATGCAAAAGTGTCAGGTTTGAGATTCTACGAGGAGTTTGGTAAATCGACAACCCAAGAGAACGGACGAGAAAACGGATGAACACACAAACGCTGATACGTTCATCACGCGATAAGTGGCATGGCTGAACACATCGCATATGTATTTCTATCAGATTATAACCATCGAATATGTGCGAGTGTTCGGGTTTTGTTCTCGAAAAAAAACGAATCTGATGTCATTAATTTCGACGGAAGTCAGCAGACTGACTGCCTGGAAAACTCTAAATGCCAAATTGCGTTTTTTTTCATCATTTAAACGTTCTTCTGTGTTTTTTGTCATTCGGGGATTAGTCGAGAATCGATAAACTATTAATGGAATTACATTTGACTTATAATTTTAGTTTCGTGCATGTGTGTACCTTGGTATTTCACCTACTTATTACTAAAAACACATGTACACAATAGATCGCGATTTGAGCGAGTGTGTGAAGCCCGATATACACCGAACAACTGGTTTTTTGCTGACAATTACAAACGCTACTGTCATACCTAAACATCAAACGTATTCGCACAAATTATCAATAAAATTGAAGGGTTTCGAACATGAAAAAAAACTTGATTTTTTCGTAATGTTCCTCTTCTCAATCAATCGACAAATAAGAAGTTTCGTTTTCAACCAAAATGAATTCAACCCTTTAATTTTTCGACGTATTATTCTCAAAACTCCGTCATTTCACCACTCATGCGTTTTTTAATCTTTCGAGAAGAAAAATCGTACTTCCCCCCTATAAAGTGTTCAAAGTACAAGCTTCCATGCGTTTCACATTTCGACTACTAATAAAACAGTATTCTATCTACAGAACGTCGCACCAATAAGCATAGATTATTTTAAAACTAATATAAAGTGAGTAATCGTAAAACAAAACTAATGACTCACGATTGGTAATGCTTTCGTCGCTTGTGGTCCCGTATTGAAGACCTTTTGCTCAAGCGACATGAAATGATTCTCGCCGCCTCGTTCATCCATCGACATCATCGACATATTTGCTGTCGACACGTTCTGCTACCGAAACGACAAACCGCAATCTACTTCCCGGCTGACACTACTTAGCGTATATGGTCGGCTAATAACAATTCACCAACTACAACGTTTTTGCCGTTTCTCGTTGAATCCTGCAATCGAAAAAACCATGAAAAAATGGAAGACACCAAAATAAGCACATAAAATTCGATGTGAGAATTTTAATTAAAAACCGACGTCATGAAATAGGAAGAAAAAATCAAAATGCCGCTTTGGAATCAAACATGTTCATTTGGACTTCAATTTTTTAACCAAGAAATGAAGGCTGAATAAAAACTGGCAATAAATCTCGTCAGAGGTGCTGCCTCAATTCTCATTTTGATTCACACAAAACGCATACAACGTATCTGTCAGCAGTCATAAGAACATTAA